GAAAGTGTGGTGAGATAGGTAAGATTCGAACCAACGGAGAGTACAATCATGGAGACCAAGTAAATAGAGTTTTTTTTGAGGAGGGGGTGGTCAACTGTGTAAAAGGCAGTGGAGAGGTCCAAGAGTAAAAGTACAGAATAGTGACCATTGGTTTTAGCGGTTAGTAAGTCATTTGTGAGTTTTAGGAGAGAAATTTCTGTGGAGTGTTGTGGGCGAAATCCAGACTGAAGGGGATCGAGAAGGTTATTCTCACTAAGGTGGCAGCTCAGCCGGTTGTAGACTAGATGTTCAAGGAGTTTGGAGGCAAAAGAGGGTAAGGAGATGGGTCTTAGGTTGCTAAGATTGGCGGGGTCCAGTGAGACCTTTTTAAGTATGGGAATGACTAGCGCATGTTTTAGAAAGTTGGGGAAGATGCCAGTAGAAAGGTAGAGATTGAAGATATGAGTTAAAGAGTGAAGGATAGAGCCAGAGGGTGACTGTAGTATTTGTGAGGGAACAGAGTCCAGGGGTCAGGTGGTTAGGTAGGCTATAGAAAAAAGTTTACCAACCTCCTCTATAGTAGCTGGGTTAAACAAGGGAAGTATAGATTGTGCAGGTGGACAAGGAGTGTAGGGTGAGGGAGATATCTGTACAGTGGAGGTCTCATCACGAATTGTATCTTATTTTTGAAGTGATTAGCGATCTCCTGTTGCGTGAGAGGGTGTTAATGAGAGTGATAAAATAGGTTGGTTTGGCAGTGGAGCCCAGAATTGTATTTTTGAAGGGCAGATTTATATTGGTCAAAGTCTTCCTGGGTCTTAGTCTTACGCCATAAATGCTCAAGAGCATGGCTACGTTTTTTGAGGCATCTGGTATTGTCTGTTTGCTAGGGCTGTAGCAGTCGGGGCCTAATTCTGTGTGTAGTGAGGGGTGCCAATGTGTCCACGGTGGATGACAGTGAACTGTTGTATACAGAAGTGGCCAGGTTGGGGCAGGACAGGGCTGAGATTTTGTGATAGAGACAATCTGTAGCTGAAAAAAGAAGAGAAGGTTAAGCTAGCGAAGGTTTCTACAGGTAACGGTTTGGTAGTTGAAAGACAAGGAGGAGGAAGCCAAGGAGAGAGCGAAGCTAATAAGTGATCAGAGAGAGGAAAACTAAAGTTGGTGAGGTTGCAAGGAATGCATAGGTAGGAGAATACAAGGTCGAGTTAGTTACCATTAGAGTGAGTAGACGTGTCCATTGTTTTAGATCAAAAGAAGTGGTTAGGCTCAGAAGTTTAGAGGTTGCAGGAGTGTTAAGATTAACAGGGATGTTGAAGTCACCAAGAATGATTGTGGGGATTTCAGAGAGAGAGAAAGTAAGGCAGCCAAGCACAGAAACCATCAAGGAAGCTTGATACCGGTCCAGGAGGCTGATAGATCACAGCAATTCTTAAAGAAATTGGAGAGAATAGACGAATAGAGTGAACTTCAAATGAGGAGAGGGACAGAGAGGGAGGTGAATGAAGGACCTGAAAAGTGCTTTGAGGGGATAGGAGGATTCCAACTCCACCTCCTTTCCATCCACTAGGCCTGGGAGAGTGAGTCCAGAGGAGACCACCATGGGAGAGGGTAGCAGGAGAGGGAAAGTCAGATTCATGAAGCCAGGTTTCCGTAATTGCAAGCACGTTAAAAGGAGTTTGTGATAAAAGAGGTCATGGACAGTGGTGAGTTTGTCACAATGCAAGTAGGCATTGAGAACTTTTTGGTACCCACCAGTCACTGTGCTGGGAGCTCTCAGCACAAAAGTGTTGGCATTTGGGACACATATATGCGGCCTCTAAGCGTTAAAGCACACCCAGAACAGGTAAAGATTTTCAGGGTGTGTATATTGCCAAGAAATTGCAATGCTTGGGTTCACTCATCCTCACTTATAATTTTCTTTTGTACAGTATTATAAGCAACTGGCACATCGAGAGGGTAAACGTGAAGGGGGAACAAAGTGAACCATGCACACCTCAAACCCTCAAATGGCCATGGAGTCAGAGAGTACTGTGGCAAACCTATCTCTGCGGAATGCACAGGTACATAAGTATATGTCTATCTTGCTCTCTCTAGCTATAATGCAACTATACTGTATTTAAAATTCTGTTTATTTCTCTTTAATCTATCATTCTATCTGTATTCTATTTCTACAAAATGTTCTGTTTCTCTAGGATGCTGTGGTGGCAGGGGACATGGAGAGTGTCCCAAGGATCTCAAGACAGCATTGTTCACGCCTTGTGCAGTCAACACGAACATCTGTGGACAGTCAAATTCTAAGACTGCTGATGGAGAGCTGTTCTAACAACACCAGCAGCTCAGCTGTCTACGATTCATTTTCAAATCCCAATGACCCCCGGGTAGCAATCTGCCGCAGTATCCATGCAATGCTGGCAGGTCTCTCTACAGAGCGTGAAATGCAGGCCACTAATGATATATTAAGTTATCTTGTAGCCTGCAGGTCTGCTCAGTTGAAGGACCTCCCCCCTCCACATTTGCTGCAAAGTGCAACCACTGCCTCAACCAGTATGGCTTATCCCCAGGCATCCATGCATTCCTACCCATCTTTCCCCCCCCCTACTCCTTCCTACCCCAACCCCTCCACCCCCACATTCCTAAACTAGCCATTTCCTAGACACAACTGCTCTTCCCCAAGCCACCCCTGTGACACAATAACAGTCCCTTTTTGATTCCCAGCTCTTTGCAGGGTCTTCCGCTACCCATTTCCCACTTACCACAATCTTTAAGTGAAAATAAATATTTTTGTAAACAGGCAAGTGTTGTGCTCTTTTCATTCATTGAAATATTCTAGGTATTCAACACACAGCTGTGACAAGCGTATCTGCCACAGCTGTTTGTTGGTGAAGTGTGGAAACAATTTAGCTCAATTTAAAGAGTTAGTTCACCTTTTCAGAAAAAATGAGAAGGTGAATTAACACCATACACTAAACCCACGGTCCTGGTCCCCACTTCTGACACACATGTCCCTGCTCTGATGTCTGCAGTGTGTCACTTCAATATAAATTTCCTATCACATGCGCAGGTTTACAAAGCACAGGGACACATGTATAAGCCTCGATCTGTACTATTGTACATGGCACCCACAAATTATGCTTGGCAGACTACAATTGATGACATGTGATGACTAAAGTAAAGCTTTTTTTTTTGATCATGACCATATTAAGGCAACAATATGACAAGCATCCCTACCACAGCTTTGGGGTAGGGAATGCTACACAACAGCTTCCTTCTGAGTTCATGCATACGTGGGTTCAGAGCTAAACAAGCTTGGCTATAGTGATGACAATGTTATCAGTTTGGGAAGCATTGTGAAATAAATTAGGAAAAGGATTTAAACAATGCAAAACCGAACATTTAAGCACAGGATTGTATTTAAAGATTTTTAAAAAAATCTAGATGTGGTCATTCTGCCATGAGACTGGTCCTTTAGTAAACACAAAATAATCAGCAAAGGTTTTTATGGATGAGAAAAACATGAGAAATGGGATCCAAGTCTATGTTCAGTGTAGCAGGGTTTGTAGAAGTTATGGAGCACATAGCATGCTAAAAACCACTTTGATGGTATTCTCCACATCCAGCTGGATTGTGGACAGGAGAACACGCCACTTACCAGTGCACGCTCCAAAGGCAGGCTCCATCATTTGATAGGTACAGCTCAGACGATAAAAAAAAAAAACCTCTGAATATAGGTAAGTCTATGCCCGTCATAGGGGCGCATGGTATTCTCTGAGAGCCCAAATGCTTCATCTGTCACAATAACATATGGCAGTCTTGGCCGTGTTGTTCCAGGCAGTGGTCTCCTTGGTGGGATCCTGAGGTGTCCCCCATGCAACCCTTGTCCCATAGCAGGGTCTCAGAATATACGTGCAATTCCTGCACTTCCATAGTCTACCAAATCCAGCATTACAATTGAAAAATATTTCTTGTTGAAATATTTTGAGTCTGATTTGGGGGGCATCTTGACCTAAACATGTTTTCCATCTAGGGCTCAGTTTGGAAATTGAGTCTTGCCCCAGAAATCATCCGCCATCTCTTGCCATAGCTCTGGCATTACAAAGTGATCTATCTCCTCCCTGACCACATAGCTCAATGTAGACACACCAAGAAAAAAAGGTAGAGTGAGGCTGAGCTTTGGCCTATATATTATATAATATACACACACACATGTACAGCTAACATGAATTCTTAATAATTGTTAGTGAATTCTAAGTCTGTTCCACATATCTAACAATATCCTTCATTTTTACAAAGAGCTACTTTGATAACATAGGAGTAATAGTTGCTATGGGTAACTGCACCTATTCTTGAAAATCTACCTGTCTCTTACTTAAAGCAAAACTAAACTCCAAAAAATACTCACCTCCACCTTCTAATGATGTATGCTGTCATCTTGTCTTGGGCTACTTTTAAATGGCAGGTTTTTGGGCTCTTGTTTGACCAATAAAGAATAATTTAACGTGCAACGGTGTAAGTCATTCCGGTACAGCTGGAGCATGGTGGAAGTGCATGCTGAGCTGCGCATGTGCATGTGCAGCTTATTGAACATAGCACATAGGACTGCAAGCAGGCAGGTAAGTGTGTTGTTGCAATAAATACATAAATAACATGTCACTTCTGCAATAAATAGATGCCTGCTTGCAGTTTTTTACAAGTTAGGTTTAGTCCCAGTTTTTAGTAATTATGGGGGCAAAACCCAGAACTAAACTGAACTATGTAGTCTATATTTATCAGAATTATACTATACTGTACAATATACTCAACTACACAATATCAACAGAAAAAGTGTACATAGATATAGGTTAGAGCCAGGGGCGGACTGACAACTCATGGGGCCCCCGGGCAATAGGGGATCATGGGGCCCCTGTGTCCTTGCCCAAACTCAAAAAAGCCTATGAAAAAGCTACCAGGGGCATCTCATGGGGCCCCCTACTGACCCCAGGCCCTTGGGCAGTGCCCAAGTTTCCAAATGGTCAGTCCACCCCTGGTTAGAGCATACTTGAGGTTGACCAATAGTCGCTGTTCAACTGAGACTCTCTTTCACATGTTCGTATCCATTCATGTCAGTCTTGTCTCCATTATGTCCAGCAGTATATCAAAGGTGGCAATAGACATCTGCGTGAAATTTTAAAACTGCTGTGGAAACCTGTGAAGGTCTCCTTAGCAATTGGCAAAATATCATTCTCTGTGACAGCAGCGGATGTGTATCATCAACGGGATTTCTTCTCCTGCAACTCCTTCAACCTACTTCTCCTTCTCAACATAACAAGTAGGATGGCTTCATATACGATCCACAATGGGATACATATCTTGCAAAGCCCACTACACACAGAAAGTTTGCACACCTTAGAGGGAGCAGAAACCAGTCAGAAAAGGAATCATTATTAAAAAAATGCATTCCGGGATCAAACTGTAAAATGTATGCATTTATAAGCATACGTATCTTTACGCATTTAAATGTACCTATACGGATCATAACAGAAAAAACATGCGTAATAAGTTCAGTAACATTTTACGGCTATGTGAATGTAGCTCTAGTTGTCAGTGTTGCAGTATCCATGTGTATAAGACCTAATTCACATGGCTGTAAAACAAAACACATTGACAACCATTTTTTATTTATGGATCTGAACACAGCTGTTTTATTTTTATTGGAAACTATAAGGAGGATTTAATAAACATGGACAACACAGAATGTGGTGCACCTGTGCACAGTAACCAATTAGCTTCTAGGTGTTATTGTCAAAGCTTAAATGAAGAAGCTGAAGTTACAAGCTGATTGGTTACTATGTACAACTGCACCAGATTTTACATGCTTCAATTTGAGTAAATACCCCCCATATTCACACAGGTGCATAAATATGTAACCAAAAATTCAAAAATCAGCATCTGAGGACATGCGTATACCATGTATACCACTGAGAAAAAGAACATGACAATTTTTACACACTAAAAAACTATTTGCTGATCAATTAAACAGAAACGTTTATTCATACCTAATAGACCAGTACAGCGTAATACAAAATGTGTTTTATACTATATGCAATTATAACATATGTGCAATCCTAATAATAAAGTGCCTGTGCAATTTCCCATATAACTTCTTATACAGCTTCGTCCCCCAATGAAGTCATGTGTTGTGATGTAACGCGTAGAGTGGGCCGATAGCGTCAAGCCTCACGACCGGAAGTTTGCGAGCCACCATTTTGTGAGTCACCTTAGAACGATGGATGTGATATTGTGGTAGCTATTCAACTTTTTATGTGAGTGCACTTACTTTTTAATAAATGTTGATTGATACAAGTGATACACTATGATGGGCATTTTTTCTGCATTTTCGGAAGATATGCTGGATAAGGAATAGGAAGACCATCCTGGACTAGAGTGTGGAGGAGATTTGAGGTGGAGCAATCATACCTACCCGGGTTAAAAGGGAAAGGCACTGTTTGACCTAAATATCTTCAGGTCAAAGTAAGGAGGTGAGAGTACATATGTGTGTTGGTGGAGGAGAAATACATAAGTGTGATTCTTTACATGGCAGGAAGATGCAAGGATGTTTATAAGAATTGAGTGACCTTGTTAAGAAGATTGTATACATATTATAAGGACTTTTAATTACAATATGGGAATTATACGTCGCAAGATTAACATATTGTTTATGTAATGCACTGTGATGTTTATATGAACTTTATAAGAAGTTATATGGGAAATTGCACAGCCACTTTATTATGAGGATTGCACATATGTTTATAATTGCATATGGTATAAAACACGTTTGTATTGCACAGCACTGGTCTATGAAGTATTAACTATTTGCATATGTGGGAACACATTTAGTGTCAGCAGCATTATCACATTGGAGGTGGGTTTTTGCAGGATTGCACTGAAGTAATTTTGCAGTTTTTTAGAAACTTTTGTTCCTTGCCTAATGATCAGTAAAATGTTTATTGCTGTGTTAGGGCCATGGGAATAGATTGTGTATACAGGCATGTTTGTAAATAACTGCACTCAAATGTAAAATTTTCTATTTTTATTTTTTGCTCTGTACTCACCGCTGTATTCAGATCAGTAAAAAATGTGGGATTTTTTTTTTACTCCTTTGTGCAAGAAGCCGTGAAGTCCATTCATGCTGCCATATTGCAATTAATGCAACGTACCAGGATGCAGAAGTGAAAATGAGCCCAGTTGTTCTGTATAAAGCTTAACTGAATAGCAATGTAGGCCTTTTTATGCTCCATGCCCAATATACAGTATGTTGACAAGTACCTAATGTGATAAAGTTATAGAAACTCCCAAAACATACTAATAAATATACCATGGAAGCCATAAAATCTGCATCACAAGTAAATACCCACAGTGCCATGGATAATGTTACTTCTTACAAATCTGGCAGAGTATAAATCAAATTAAATCTGGATTGCCTCCTAGATCATGTCAGACCTTTTATGTCTGCATGCCTTTGTGCATAGCTGGAAAGCATTAGCTGACAAAGCCATTCCTCTACTGGCCAGACAAATGAAATAAACATTAAAGGTGTTTTTATCATAATTAGATACACATTCCTCAGTTAGCATAAAGACCATCACACAAGTGTTTGGTATCATCATGGATTACCTCCTTAGCCAGTGGAAAGTACCTTTAACAGCAGAATAGAGTTCCATCTAATCATGCAAACAAGTATTCTTCATGGTGGTGCTTGTAACTCTACAATCAAATACATGGCAAGGCTTTTGTCCATTCAAGGTGCTTCCAACTCTGGTTTCCATCTGCAGGTTCTCAATCTCTGTATATTCTGACTTGTATTTGTAGGTGAAAGGGTCTCATCAGAACTGCCCTTACCACAGCGCTTTCACTGCATACTTCCTTTAGGGAACCCCTTACCTTGTCACTGTGCTTATTCTGGTTTCTAGTTCCTGGCTGCAACTGGCAGAAGGCCTACACCTTCCAATTAGGGTGCTCTGAGGATGGAGGGATAAGGAGACTAAGTGGGAGGTGTGGGCCTACAACCAGTTGCAGACAGGAATTTGAAATTAGGAACAGCCCCAGCAAACATGAAAATATCAGTCTTCAGTGGAAGAGTTTTTTTTTGTAGAGTAACAAGAGTAGGTGCTCCCCCAGGGAACAGGCCAGAGGGCTGTAGAAGTGGCAGGTGAGATGATGCCCATTCACGTATTGTCACATACCTTGGTTGAAGGCCGAGTTGACAAGAGGACTTCCCTTGCGGCTCTGGTTTGAGCACCCCTGAATGTGGTAACAGATATACAAGGCTCAAAGAAGCACAGGTGCCGATAGCTTGATAGCAGGTGATTGCCACAGTCAGGGATGTAGTCAAGGTGAGCTAGGGTCATACACAGTGAGACAGCAGCGTGGCAGGCCGGGGTCAGTACCAGGTCAGTAAGCAGATCAAAGTCCAGTAGCAAGTTGAGGTCAGCACCAGGAAATCAGGCAGAGAATAGTGAGAGGTAAGCCGAGGTCACCTTTAGAAGATCAGGCAGAGAGTAGTCTAAGGCAAGATGAGGTCAGAATCCGGAATCCACAGAGCAAGGTCAGGAGCAAGCCGGGTCAGCAACGAAAGATCAGTAAGTACAAACAGGAACACGGGTCACAGGAAGCTGAAGAACATCCAGCGATTAGTACACAGCAGAGTTTCCTTTAAATAGGCAGCTTGGCGCCAAAGCGGAAAGACGTGCTCGCCGATGCGCGATGGTGCATAGAAATACTCCTACGTGTCAGTGCATGCTGGATATTAGCCTGGGCTTGTCTGTGTGCTGATACATGTAAACGAGCATGAGCTGCAGAAGAATTCTCATGAGCTGCAGAAGAATTTGCATCAACTGCACTAGTTTCCTGACATCTATCAATAGAAGTTAGAATATACAGACTGTGAACCTGCAAGGGGAAACCAGGGCTGGAGGCACCCTGAATCATCATGTGCTTGTGGACAACAGACTTACCATGTATTTAATTTTTGAGTTACAAGAGTCACCATTCTTATTTGTACTTGCTGTTTTATGATCCTGGGAATAACTCATATTTGAGAACTACAAAGCTCAAAATCTCATCAACTGTCCATTATTTAGAAGGGAAGCAGAGCAGACCGAAATGTCTGCTATCATCTAAGCAGCATTTGTGCCTTGCATGTAGCATTTGATTTTACCCAGGAGGCACCTTCAGTTGGGTCATGATGTCAGGATATAATCCGAAACATAATTATACAAGCAACTTCACAGCAGAAAATCTTAAAAAAGTACATGTCAGTTTGGATAAGGCATAGTTAAAAGCTTGACCTAAACTGAAATGTTGGGGATGTCAAGAAAAGAGCTGCTTAGACTGGAAAACCTGCAAATGTTGAGATAAAGTGCTTTTGCATAGAGAAATGGACCACAAATACTCTACATAAATACACATTAACTGCAGTTAGCTACACATATTGTAACTACAGGTGGTCCAACTAGTTATTCAGTGTGAAGTAATATGATTTTATCACACATAATGTTCCACAGTTTAATAACCTGGAAACAATGATGGGATTTTTCCCTCTAGTGTTGCATTTGTGTTCCAATCAGCTGGACAGAAATAATCTGCTAAAATGCAAAATGCAAAATTAGAGGGCAGAACACTGTGTACTGGGAAACAATTTTAACAGTATTTTTGCCACATTATAAATTTCTTGGTTTTCAACTGCCCAATGTTACAGTCATCCAAAATTCAAGAGGTCATACAAGGGGAGCTCAAATTTGATATTTTTGCTAGGTTTGCTCCCACCTGCACCATATTGTAAAATGGGTATATTAAAAAGGTTTCAAGCTGACTAGGAGCTCTTCCGTTCCTTTGCCTTGCAGCTGGATGACCTTCCTGAACCAGGGCCACGCTGTCACTGGAGACCCATTATTAACTGGATAAAAATGAGTTCTGGAGTCCCAGTGACATATAATTTGATGTTATCATGCCCATGCTAGGTCAGTAAATTTCACTGTAAAAGGAAGTCAGCATTGCTCAGACACAGTTCTATAAGGA